CCTGTTCCTATTAGTTTTTGCAATAGATTTTAGAAAAATCGTGTTGCTAGCACTCTAAAACTTAGTCAAAATAATTAACATATTTCTCTGATTTTAAATGTGTAATAGTAAGATTAAGATCTGATTATTAAACACCTAATCTTTCAAAATGATTGAGAAACATTCACACATTTTCTCACATCTTTCATGTGAACTCTTGAGTTACAAGTTTGTCTAGGAACTATAGTCAAATCGAGTTACTAGTGAAGCAAAATTAGTGTAAAGTGGGTTGATTGATGTTTCTCTCTCCTCATTATTCTTTTGATTTTATTTTTCTCTCTTTCTCTCTCTTTCTCTCTCATTATCTCTCTCTCTCTCTCTTTTCTAACTAGAATTTCCTCAAAATCTGCTTACACTCTCCCTCTACCTAGTATTATATTTTCTCTATTCATTTCTTTTAAATCTCTCATCTTCTTAAGCTCTCTTATTATTTTAATAATTAATTTTCTTATTAATTTCTGATAAAACACTAAACTGATTTATAATAAGATCTAAAATAATTCTCACAAGTTATTCTTTCTCCTTGTGTTTGATTTGGACTTATATTTCTATTAAAAATCACATCTTTCAATTATAAATTTTATAAGAAAATGAGTATTTAAACTCAATGACAAATATTCATAACCTTTTGTGCCTCGTGGTCTCTTGGCTTCTAGCAAACAATCCATGTGATGCCTAGAGGAGCGAGGAGCATCCTTTTCTATTTCTTAGGTCCAAATATCTCTCATTTAGCTTCTGATTCAACTATTCCTTCTTTGACTTCTAGTTTTCATTTTAATTCCTATCAAAACTTATATTTTAAATAAACATAATCATTTATAATAAGTAATAGAGCTTCATTTAAAATTCATATCAATCAGTTAAGTATTCATAGAGAAATCATGATTTTTGGATCAACATTTGTTTAGTTTTGATTTTTCTTGGAATTTTCCCAAGAAATTCCAAACTTTTTCAATCGATTCCTACGTTTTGTTGACTTTTCAATCATTTATAGGGTTTTTTGGGCATTTCCCAACATCCTCCACTATCTTCTACTCATAAATCTGTCGGATTAACCTATGTAAAACACAAGATTTGGGTTACTACATGATAGGTGGGTCAAAGGTTAATTGACACTCTATTGAATTAGTGCTCATTGAACTAGTGCTTACTGAACTAGCACTTTGCCAAATGAACACTCTATCAAATTAGCACTCACCAAATTACTACTTTAAAGTTTTACTCTTAGATTAGTTTTTCCTACAATTTTTGTATGAATATTAGTCTTGGCTATCTCAACTATCAATTCCCTTTCTCTTAGAAATAAAATGGCCAGAACCACTTTGAGAGAAAAGTAGATGGGTGATCCAACATCACACAATGCACTTGTGATGTGATCATGCCTTGGCCCACACATGGGCTTCATATAAGTTTTCATTATCATAGGTTAATTAATGATATATTTTAAGCCTTAACTCATGGTAAATAAACTTATATTTATGTTTAAGTGAGAAAAGAGGTTTTTAGCCAGTTAATGTGAATTTTTAGCTAATTATGTGAATTTATATAATTTTTATAATCATATTTTTGAAATAAATTAAGAGAAATAAAATAAAAATAAAAATAAAAATAAAGGGGTTGTAAGGGACCTACTGGCCAGCTAGACCTACAAGCAAGCAAAGCCACAAGTAAGAGGCTTGATTGACTAAGAACTAGTTCGGAACATGTGCAGCACTCCCCTTCCACATCATTAATGGTCAACTGAGTGCAGGGCAATGAGTAGTCATAAACACATGAGAGGACTACATTAAGCATAAAAATAGCTATTACTATATTTGTCTCAAAACTTAGAAAATAGTTGATGTGGGACTAAATCAAGGTCACTGCTCATTATCATTTATTTTTAATATGATGTATAGGTAAAATATCACTAAATGATAAGGAGATACCCTTATAATGTCACTTGTTAAAGATATTCATGTACTTATTTAACTCTCTCTCATATAGGCATGCAACTAGTGAGAGTTTGAATCTCACTAGAGTCAAAATTTATATTTTTATCTAATTAAATTATGATTTTCTTACATAATGTTAACCAATAATTAAGCCTTAAAAATTACTTAATTACTAGTGAAAATATCATCAACATGATTTGTAGAACATCATTACCAGCTACTGAACAATTGTGGATAAAAAGATTATGAATCAATTGAAGAATTCATTTTTGATTAATTAACAAACCAGCCTTCGTTAAAAAAAATAAAATTCACTAAGAGATGAGTTGCCACCTCTTGAGAGCATACCATATGTGCTAAAGGGCCTTCTCTTACTAGATGGACTTAAGAATGAAGCTCTCTAAGACATGTCCTAGCTTCATTCAACTTATTTCCACCAGGTGACAATCATTAGAGATCTTAAAGTCATCATATTTTTGTTCTACTAGGTGATAACTAGGTGAGACAATTTGTCAACTCATTTTATTAATTTTTAAACTTCACAAAAAGATCTAAAGATTACTCATGTAGTTCATATCTAAGTAGAGCCTTTGAAACTATAGACATTACATAATAATTCTCTCAAATATATAGAATTTTGACAATCCTTTTTGTAAAGTTGAAACTTTATCTTTCCTATTTAATTTTAACTTAAATTAGCGAGATTTTATGTGATTTCAAGTTTTAAAAATCTTATCTATTTAATTATGATTCTTCTAACTATTATATATCTTAATTTAATTAATTAAATAGTCTATAATCATTTATGTAAGAATCATTAGTCAAAACTTTATTATTTTCATTTGAATCATGCTTATCAAGGTGCTAAAGTCATCCTAACATTTGCACCCAAATTTATATTTTTAGTAAAATTTTAAATATATTTTATCTTCATAGTTTACTATAAAAATCATAAAAAATTTTATTCTTTGAAAAAAATTCTGAAATATTATTAGATATAAATTCTGAAATCATAATTTCTATTAATATGTGTAGTTTTAATAAAATAAAGCATAAACACAGCTAAAAAATTGACAGCTTAATCATATAATTTAGGAAATTATCAATTACCCTAGTGAATCATAATGTGCAGGTCATAAGGTATGAGATAGCTTATAAAAGTGCTGTAAATTTGAGTTTTAAAATGTGTCCTTCAGCATAAGAGATTGTGTCCAAACGTCATGCATTTAAAAGAGGTATATCACATGTTTAAGAGTAAACATTTGGTTGGACATTACTTTGAAGATGATTATGGTGATCTGATATGTGATGACTCTTTGAAGAAGTTGATGGATTGAAAAAATTATACCCTATGTTATCTAGAAAGAACAAGAGAGTTGTTGGTGTTTTTGGAGAACGATTTAATGGGTCCTATAGGGCTCTTCGGCCTGAAAGAAAAATTTGGTTCCAGGGGCCTAATTGTCCTTTGTCCCCATGTATTTTTCTTGAACCCTATGGAAAAAGAGACTGAAGTGGCATCCTCTTGTGTGTGATGTGCAAGCACAATGTGCTGTCGCAAAGAGGGCGATGTGTTGAGTTGTAAGGCAATTATTTGCTCCTGAAGGAAAAAGAACTCGTGTAATCATTGATGTCGGAGGATTCTCTGGTGTGTGATCCCTCATCATTTGCCTCTCTCTCTCTCTCTCTCTCTTTCTCTCTCTCTCTCTCTATCTATATCTATCTCTTGTGGGTGTATGTTGCATTGTCTTGCACTGTGCAAGTAATGAACTAGGATGCTCATTGCCAAGAACATTGTCATTTTGACCCCCCAGTTTCCATCTATAAGTAGGAAATTTGAGAAGAAAAATAATTGAGGGATGCATGGAAAAACGAATACAGTCGCCAAGGTGAAAAACAGGAGTGGACGGTATACCACAGTGACGGGGCTCTGTTCTCTAGGGTCTCATGACAAAATCATGAAGAAATTGGATGCAATCATACCTAACTGAGAATTCCATACGTCAAACCAGGATTCTACTAGAGAAGGAAAATCCCCGGGCTCGCACTCGAGAGCGGCAATTTGGTCACGGCGACTAGGACATCCAGCAGGAAGTGTTCATTCTCCGCTTGCTTCTGAGTGGCAGCACCGGAGGAGACGGTCAGATGGCAAGTATTCTGGCGGATCGCCGAGCTGAAGTAAGGGAATGATTGGCGAGACGAGGCGAGCTTCGGGCAACCTGCGAGCGGCCTCACTGGGAAGAGGAACTCCGAAAGAGACGTCGCGGCGGGAAGTGATCGGAAACGGAGCACCGAGCCGAACATCCGCGCCATCTATGAAGGCGTTCTCCTGCCAGCAAGCGACAAAGGAGAAAGGGTGTAGAGGAAAAGAGAGGCGGAGTCTTCTAATCCGTTAGGGAGAAGCAGATATTCTTCCCCGGAGGTTCTGGTTCAAAGCGGAAAAAAACCAAACGGTCACTTCTCCTGGTAGTCGGCCGCGAAAAAGCGCTTCTTTGAAGGAAGCGCTTCTGTGGAAATAATCAAATATGTTAATTGACTGAAATACCCTCCCAGTTTTCGGGATCGTCTTTCTCTGGTTTTCCCCATTCCGCTCGGCACTTGGTAAGAGGTGAAAAATCAGGTTCGATTGAGGACCTCCAGTAGAAATCCACCTCCATTCTTGACACCAGACGGACGTCCCACTTCCATTGCGCAATGCTCCCAATCCAGTTCGAATCAGGGAGTCGCCTGGCCTGGGGCGGAGTCGGGAATGGCGGCGCGGAGCAAAGGGTGTCGCCCGTCGCGGCCGGCGGCTATCGACTGTGCGGTGATCGGCGGGTTTTACCGGCGAATTTTCTTTCCCCTGACATCCGCAGGGTCCGGAGTGGGGTGGGAGCTGTCGCTGGCCACCCGTTCTCGTGCGAACGATCCCTGCTACGTCCATGGAATAGATTCTTAGCAGCGTCCGTTGACCTCCGGAGAACGGAGGAGTCGAGAACGGCGAGATTCTCTTTCAAGATCTCCTGAGGAGGTGAGCGGGGGAAGGACGGGATGGTTGGATCTGTTCTGACGTATGTTGTGAGAAGAATCGGCGATTTCATCATCGAAGAAGCCATCTTCCTGAGGGATGTGAAGGAGGAAGTGGATCGGCTCCATGCTGAACTCCGGCGGATGGAGTGCTTCCTGGAAGATGCGGACGAAAAGCGGGAGCAGGACAAAAGGGTGGGGAACTGGGTGAGGGACGTGAGGGAAGTGGCTTATCAAGCTGAGGACCTCATCGAGTCCTTCATACTGAAGGTCAAAATGAGGCGACAGTGGAGGAGGGGGTACAACGTCAGATCCATGCTTTGCGCTTGCGTCCCCTGCGAGCTGATCACGCGCCACAATTTCGGCAGAGATATCCAACTGCTGAGGGTGAGGATTGACGACATCAACAAGAGCAGACAGACCTATGGCATCGTAGATCTCGGCGCCGGTAGCGGGGAGAAGAACTATGTCGATGAGCGAGTACAGCGACGGCGGCGGGCAAATCTCCACGCCTCCGACTCTGATGTGGTCGGCTTTGAGGACGAGAAGAAGATTGTCCTGAAGCTTCTGTTTTCCGATAGTGTGAAGCGGCGATCCGTCATCTCCATTGCGGGGATGGGAGGTCTTGGGAAGACTACCCTTGCAAAGGAAGTCTACAAGGATTCACAGATTAAAAGCCACTTCGGTTTCTGTGCCTGGATCGATGTGTCCCAGAAATACAAGGACTTAGAGCTTCTTCAGGACTTGGTGCAGCAGATCTCGAGGATTGAAAGAGAGGAATTGGGGAAGATGACCAGGAAGGATCTGGAGGTTAAGCTGGATCAGTCGCTAAAAGCGGAAAGATATTTGATCGTCATGGATGATGTGTGGGACAATGAGGTCTGGAAAATTGTTGGCCCGCATCTCCCAGATATCGGCAACGGAAGCAGGGTGCTGATCACTACCCGCTCTCTTGACGTCGCCAGATCTGCTGACTCATCCACCCCACCCCACGAGAAGCGGTTCCTGAACGAGCAAGAGAGCTGGGAGCTCTTCTCGAAGAAGGCATTCCCATATGAAGATGCCCGAAGTGTCTGCTCGGGGGAGTTCGAGGAGATTTGCAAGGAGATGACCGGGAAATGCAGGGGATTGCCCCTGGCGCTCGTGGTGCTTGGCGGTCTGCTTTCGAAGAAAGAGAGGAGAGTCATCGTATGGAGGAGCATAGCGGAGAGCATCGTCTGGCAGCACGACGAGGAAGGCCAACTATGCATGGAGATCTTGGCGTTGAGCTACGCAGACTTGCCCCACCACCTCAAGTGGTGCTTCCTCTATTTCAGTGCCTTCCCTGAGGACTTCGAGATCGAGGTTCAGAAGCTGATCAGACTGTGGATCGCGGAAGGTTTTGTCAAGGACAGAGCGGGTGCAACATTGGAACAATCTGCAGAGCGGTACCTTGAGGAGCTCGTCCAGAGGTGCCTAGTTCAGGTTGCGGCATGGTACGACATTGGCACTGAAAGATGCCGCATGCATGATCTCCTCCACGAATTGTCGATTTCACAGGCTAAGGAGGTCGGCTTCTTCTACTGCTGCAGGAAGCCGCAGGACAGTGCCCTTCCATATTCCTCACTCCGGCGCCTGTCTCTTCACCAAGGCATCGAGGAGTACATCTCCCAGCGCCATTCCACGCCGAGACTGCGGACCTTGCTGGGCTTCAACTTCGAAGGGTCGCCCATGGGTTTCCCTTTGAATGGGCTAAAAATGATCAGAGTGATTGACTTAGAAGGGGGGCCAATTAAATTATTGCCGAAGCAAGTTGGAGACCTTATCCATTTGCGATACCTTGGTCTGAAGAAAACAAGGATAAAATCTCTCCCCCTATCAGTTGTGAAGCTATCTCACTTGCAGGTTCTGGATATCAAGGGGACGCGAATCGCACAAATACCCAGCGGTGTGTGGACGATCAAAGCCCTCCGGCACGTCATTATTCCTGATGCAGTAGAACCACAGAGGATCCCGGGGAGCCTGAGCAGCTTACAGGTTCTAGAGACAGCCAAGGCTGGCGACTGGATAAATAGCCACTTACACAGCCTGACGAATCTACAGACTCTGCGTATAAAAGGCATCAGAGGCTCTTATCACCAGGTGCTCTCTGCTTCATTGCCAATGTTCTCACGCCTAACCACCTTGGAGCTAGCAGGTGAATCAATCCCTGCAAGTTTGCTGACACTGTCGAGCCTCGAGTATCTTCACACAATGGGCTTGCTCGGGCAGATGGAAAGCCCGCTGCAATCCCAGGCTGTCAGCTACCAGTGGCCTTCCAATCTCTGCAACCTCACGCTGTGGGACTCTGGGTTGGTTCAGGACCCATTGCCCTCTCTGGGAAAGCTCTCTGACCTCCGTGTTCTATTATTGCTGAGGAATTCGTACCGGGGAACGGAGATGGCCTGCCCTCACGACCGGTTCCCCAAGCTGCAAACGATGAGGCTCGAGTATCTGGGAGAGTTGGAGCAATGGACAGTGGATTATGGGGCGATGCCCTGCCTCAGAACCCTGATGATCAACAGCTGCAAGAAGTTGAAGATGCTTCCTCAAGGGTTGAAGGGCTTGGCTAGCCTGAAGGAGTTTACCCTGTTGAATATGCCCAGTGAATTCTATTCTCGGGTTAAGAAAGAAGAGGGAGACGATTGGGAGAAGATCGCGCACATACCTTCAATCACCGTCAACCGTCAGAAGATAACATGAAGTGTGTGAATTCTCAGGCATGTGGGAGCTGATCTCTTCTCTGTTTTGAATATCCATCTGTTGTTCATACTTTATAAGCAATCTATAAGTCTCATTATGACCAAAAGTCTTAAGAAATATAACTGTATTTCACTTCGATCTGCGGTAACTGTAATGAATAATTAGAATCGACTAACTTTTCAATCATATCAGAGGCGAAGACATATTCGATTGTCATGGATGGCGTCTAGGACAACAAGGTTCGGACAATTGTTCGCCTGTACCTATCAGACGTTGGGAAAAGAATCAGGGTGCTGATCACCACCGGCTACCATGACTTCGCCGGATCTGCAAACGCATCTACCCCACCCCACGAGCTGCAGTTCCTGGACGAGGAAGAGAGCTAGGCGCTATTCTTAAAGAAGGCATTCCCATATGACGGTGCCCGAAGAGTCTGCTCGTGGAAGTTCAAGGAGGTTGGCAAGGAGATGACCGGGAAATGCAGGGGCTTGCCACTGTTGCTGGTGGTGCTCGGCGGTCTGCTTTCAAAGAAGCAGAGGTCGCTCGTCACCTGGAAGTCGATAGCAGAGACTACGGTGTAGCAGGACAACAAGGAAGGCCAACCATGCGTGGGGATCCTGGCGCTGAGCTATGCCAACTTGCCCTATCATCTCAAGTGCTGCTTCCCAATTTCGGCGTCATCCCTCAGGACTTCATGATCAAGGGGCAGAAGCTGATCAGACTGTGGATCACGGAGGGTTTCATTGAGGACAGAGGGGAAGCAACGTTGGAAGAGTCAGCAGAGCAGTACCTGGAGGAGTTCGTCCAGAGGTTGTGGAAGGGACCTTGGCTAGTGCTGAACATGCCCTGCCCACAATCTCCTCTACAAACTGTCCTCAGTGGCAAAGGAGGACGGCTTCTTCGACTGCTGCAGGAAACCACGGGATTCCGTTCCGCATTCCACATTCTGGCATCTGTCCCTTCAGAAGGGCGCGGAGGAGTATGTCTCCCAGCACCATTCCACCGCGAGACGGCAGGCCTTGTTGGGCTTGAACTTCGAAAGGTCGTCCAAGGATTTCCGTTTGAGCGGGCTGAAACTGATTAGAGTGATTGACTGGGAAGGGGCGCCAATGGAGTTATTCCCGAAGGAAGTTGGAGACCTGCTCCATCTGCGATTCCTGAGCTTGAGAAGAACAAATTTATCCCTCCCCGCAACAGTTGAGAAGCTAACTCACTTACAGTTTCTCGAGCGAATGATCAGCTCTGTGTGGAGGATCAAAGCCGTCCACACAGATTGCAGGTGCTTAAGCCCTCCGGCAAGTCATTATTCCTAACCTACGGTGCTTGGAGGTGCTAGAGACAGCAAGGGCCGGCGACTGGATAAATTGCTGCTTAGCCATCCTGACGAATCTCCAGAACTGCGATTAGGGGCCATCAGAGGTGCTGTCCAGTTTCTGAAAGCTTGCTGACACTGTCCAGTCTCGGCTATCTTCACACACTGCTGCTGTCTGGGCCGGTGGGAAGCCTGCAGCAATTCCAGACTATGAGCTATCAGTGGCCTTCCAATCTCTCCAATGTCATCCTCTGGGATACTGCATTTCATTAGGATCCATTGCTCTCTCTGGCGAAGCTCTCTGACCTCCGCATTCTCACGATGGGTTCCCTATGATGCAAACGTTGAACATCGAGTGCCTGGAACAGCTGGAGCAATGGAGAGTAGATGATGGGACGATGCCCTTGCTGAGCCTGAGAATCAACTGCTGCAAGGAGTTGAAGATGCTTCCACATGGGTTGGAGGGCTTGGCTAGCCTGGAAGAGTTTACCCTGTCGAATATGCACAATGAATTATATTCTAGGTTTCAGAAAGAAGAGGGAGACGATTGGGAACAGATTTCTTCTCTGTCTTGAGTATTCATCTATTGTGGCTCATACTTTCTGATCAATTAATGAGAGTTTAATTGTGATCATGATTCTTGACATAATTTAAAAGTATTTCACTTCGATCTGCAGTGACTGGAATGAATAATTAGAACGGACTAACTTTTCAATAACATCGGGGCCTTTGTCCGCTGACTGGCTTCGCGCACCCGTGCGCATGGTTCCCTCACTTTCAGTTCCGCTGCAAACATTTGTCTTTGTCCTCTCTTCCGAACGCCACGTTTACGGTTGACTGTGGCTCTGGCAAATGTCGGCTGTAAAAGATCCAGAAGTCAGCCTAATTTGAGCTGATGACATACGGCAAGGCGGCCGTTGCCTCGACCACTCTCGCCTTTGTAAGTCAACACTTCGTTCTCCAAAAGTGGGGATGAGGAACAGTGAAAGAACCTTTATTATTGTTTTTTTCCCGGCCAACTGAAGTTGGGAACACTCAGCATGTATCGCCGCCGCAGAACGAGATCCACTCGTGATCAGCTGCAGGCCCCGGCGGCGAAGCCGATCTGCTTCGCACTGATATCGTAAATGACCTCCATTCCCCGTTGCTGGACGTTCCCAATGATTGCCACGTCGCTGGGCTCCTCGTTCCCGGCGAACGCAAGGCAGACTTGACCTTCCTCGACGGCGAGGAGCACCCCCGTCGGCTCCAAGGGCACGTTGGCGCCGTCGTAGTGGAGGGTGATCGCCGGAACCAAGATGTTCTTCACGCTGCTGAGATCGTAGCAGGTGTCCAGCAGATCGGCGGGCTCCGCCGGGGGGTACTGCGCCATGGCGCGGCGAAAGGCCGTGCGGAGGGCGCTGTACGCCGCCGGTGGCAGGCGGGTGATGACGGTCCCGGAGTCGATGATGGTGCCAGACTGGAAGACCGTCGGCGCCACCGGTATGGGATGCCCGCCGACGCTGATCCCGATCAGGTTGAGGAAGTACAGCGTCGGCTCCTGCGCGTTGCTGAGCATTGGCGTATACGCCGCCGCCGCCGACGGTGAGCCGCCGACAGTGAGCTTACCGGCGGGTCTTCTCGGGCCGGGGAGGCAGTAGGAAAAGACGTTGCTGCCGAGGGTCTGAGATGCCTGCGTGGGCAGCGAGAAGGGGCTACGGGAGAGGCCGATGAGGCCGGCGATCCCCGTGAAGAGCCCCTCGTTGCGCTCGCCGCAGCCGAAGACAAAGTTGGGGAAGACGAAGCCGGTGGCCAGCGTCAGCTGCTCCGTGCCGAGGAAGCCTACTGTGGCCGAGCTGTCGCCGTAGTGGACGGAGTAGAGGCAGGTGCCGCCGGAGCAGCCATTGGAGGGGAGGGCGCGGCAGGCGTCGGAGGAGCAGGAGATGTTACGGTAGGAGGAGGAGCTGGAGGGGTCGAAGATGGGCTCCTGCTGATCGTAGCAGGAGCCGACGCAGGGCTGGCACTGGATCCAGCAGATGCTGCTGCCGGTGTCGAAGATGACGGTCTGGTTCTTCTTGGGAGTGCCAAAGCCCACCGTCACCACGTAGTCGGCGCTGCCCACGACGTCGCCGTTCCGGGCCGGAAGGGTGACCTCGCGCGCCTCCTGGGCAGCTGCACCGTTCCCTGAAGAAGGAGCTCCTCTGATTCTCTCGTGGAGAGAGGAAACTCTCTGAGAGTCCATGGCGAGGCTCTGAAGAAGTTCGAGCTTGCCTCCGCCGCCCGGGGAGCAGGGCGCGCGGCGGTGGGTGATCTTCAAACCGTTCCCGACGGGGGCTGGAGACGAAAACCTACACTTCTCAACCAGATGGTACGTACCACAGGAAACAGCAGCGTTGGAAAGAAGATTCGAATGCCTTACCCTTCGCCGGGGAGCACTCGGCAGCTGGGAGCAGCGTTTCGACTCCAACTAGTTGGATGCTGCCTCCGTCCCCATGGACCTGCCTATAGCAGAAGCACAGAAGGACCAGCAGGAGATGGAAGAGCGGGGAGGGAGGAAAAGCCATTGCAGAGCTAGGATCCCCGAGGTTGACGGAGAACGATATTTGTAGGCTGGTCGCAGTGTCTGTTGGCGTTACGCCTGACGACGAGGATCCCAAGAGGCGCCTCTCTGAGGATCTTTTACAAGTGAGACCTTCGATATCCCCTCAGGACCAGCTGGCGCGGGATCGTCCAGAAAACCTTCCCGATTTATGGCCTATTAATGTCCCATTTCTTCCCCAATTACTTTCATTACTCAGTTGTTCAGCCACCCCGCGCGATGTTAATCTCAGCGATATCTAGATCGTGCCAAATTTTTGCCAGATATGGTCCAGATAAGCGGCTTTCAACAGAAATAGTCTAAAAAATACTCTGGAAACGGGTCATCGATATTACACTATTAAGGTCGGCCTTTTTTATTTCAACCCTAGACACTTAAAATGAAATGGTTTCTAAATGGTACCCTGTGTAGGCTTACGCAACCTTAATAATCTGAGAGGGAGAGAAAGAGAGTGGACAGAAAGAAAAATAGATAGATAGATAGGTACATATTTATATTTATTTATATATCGAGAGAGCGAGAGAGAGAGAGAGAGAGTCCAATGTTTTTGTCAGGACGTTGTCAAATTTCTTCGAGGATCATTGAACCATAGGATCTAGTTTGATTTTCAACAAGACGCACGCAGAAAATTACAATAAGATTTAAGTCTTCTCTGATAAGCAACTTAGATCCTTATGATTTGAGCTATAACTATATTCATCTATTTATAATACAGTTGCTAATATAATTTACCGCGATTTACACCGCAACAATGCATTCCATAAAAGTTGTTGCACTTTATATGTTATGGCATTCAAAATCCCATTCCGTTGACAATACACAATCGAGATGGTCGTCATAATAGACATCTTCATTTGGTACAAGCTAAAAAGAACTTTGAACTTCCATCGGACATTCTCGAATTGGTTTCTTTGTCAGGTATGAGGACTTGGAGTGAGGTAGAATATGAGGTGGAGTTATTATCCTGTTCTTATTCGTCTCTTTCTATCCCATGTGAACCGGATATCATTCATATGATTATTGTAAATGGGTTCCTACTGTAGACAGGGCTTGACCTTGAATGTGCTGGATACTTGTGGTAGCAGTGAAGGGACTACAACCAGAGAATTCAGAGCGAGGACCATCGTAGTGGATTATCGGCAAGGAGATGTGACTGATAGGAGCATAGAGACCAACGTGGGGCAAATGAAATCAGATTTACTTGTTCTTTTGCTAGAGTCAGTAATATTTTGAAGACGTGAGCCCAAACTGTTGTACATCTATTTAAACAAACGTTTAGAAGATAAATCTAAAGCATTTTTTTTTTACTTTGGTCCGATGATCCATTTTGTGTCTTTGAATATGCGAAATAGAATAACTATAAAGAGCTTCATTGCTTCATGTTGGTGGGTACAGTCAGACGACCCTCTATGAAGAGTCCTTGGAACGAAAGTACAGGGGTTTGCCTCTTCCCTAGTTGATTGGGTGTCTTCTTTAGACAATTAATATCTACTCTAACATAAGTTAGGGTTCAAAAAGGGTAGAAAGAAGAAAGAAAATAACCTTCATGTGTTGTGGCGTACGCGAGGTGAAGGCAGAGGTCGGGTGGGTAGGACAAACTTACTGTTGTGGTGGTGTGTGGTACTCTCCCCGCTGTGTATTTCTTTAGCTTGCCGTTTCGTGGGGAGCATTTGTCGCACACCTGCGGAACAAGGTTTGAAAGAGACCAGCCTCATTTGGTTTTTCTAACAATGTGCTTCAATATTTTACTCATTATGTTATTAAAAAAATAAGACATTAATATTAAATAATTGAAATTGTGCAAATAAAATTCAGAGGATCGACCAAATAAAATGTATCTACACACTAGAGGGTAGATATCCAAGAGCAAATTATCCGCTTCAGTAAAATGATTAATTATTTCAGATCATGAAAAATTCCAAGAGATTCGTTAAATTAGCCAAGAGCTCTGGATCGTGGCAGGGTTTAGCATATGAAGCCATCATTTAGAAAAGACCCAGAGGCTGGATTAAATCATAGTCTCAATCGAAATGTAGACCGTTACAATAAGCAAGGGTAACAAACTATCCAATCACTTTTACATTCCACTTTCTTACTGTGAGGATAGTCTATTCTTCAATGACAGTGAGGTTTATTTTATTTTTTTATTTTTTTCTTGCAATTTTAATATTTATGGTAAAAATTAACATTTTACAACCATTGTGGTATTTTATTTCGAAATATTACATAACTTTTATTAGTATTCCAATCAAAATTGTCTTCCCGTTTCACCATTAATAGGGAAACCTCATTGGTTATCATCTTTTTTATCTCTTCACTTGACGATTTTCTATGCCATTTTCTCTTGAATATTTATCAGGTCTTAAGTTATTTATCAAGGTCGAATGTGGAAACATCACAAAATTTGACGATTTAAAGCTCAAGCAATTTTGAAGATTGAAAGCATGAAGAAGATTATTCTTATTTATTCTTTAATATTTATTTTTTAAAATAAATTATTTAGAATGAAAAAATTATTGACATTAACCTAATAATTATCCATAATTAGGCTAATAATTATTTGAAATTTGATCATTTTTTTTAACACAACAGCCAAAATGATATAATTTATGTATCACCTAGAGGATGAAATAAGTTAAAACTAAAACAAAATACAATTGAAATTGGAATGAAATTCGTTAATGCCTCCATTGCTTTTGACAACTTCCATCTATCCATTGCAGAGAATTCGAACAAAATATAATTAAAAATGAATCAACTCACCACCTCTCTTTGATCTGAATATCTCCCTACACCTTAGAGCTTCCTCTTGTCATCCAAGACTCACTGTGAAATGAGTTATTTCCTGCTTTTTTGCCTCACAGTTTGGAATAGAGTATGACTACTCAGTTTTACATGGGTGATTTGGCTTAAAATATTGACTTTTACTTTCTTAGATTTAGGGTACTGATGTAAATATAAATTAATTGACATCGTACTTTACTAACACATTTTAACTTCTATAATTAGGATTTTACATTGATTCATGCAGCCATTGACTCAAAATTTCTGAGTTATTATATAGAAAATCAAACTTTAACATCAAGCACTATGTGCCTTAGTTAAATCGCCATCCCTCATGACCTAATTATCTTAGGGCCTGATAGAGAACATCAATTGTAGTTGTAGAGTTATTTGACCACCAGATAAAGCTGATGAAGAGGATGCAGAAATTTGTTTGTTGTAGTGTGTAGTGGGAAGTTGTTGATTGATACTAAATTTTATGGGATGTCACTGTGCTAGATACTGGGATTTCACCTGTAAAACAAGAAATACCACCTGAACCACTTGCAAGATCGTATGGATTCACATACGTATTAAAATTCCATAAACAGACTGAGTCATTGTTCTCGAGTTATTTTCCTTTTAGAACTGAAAGCCTTTTACAAGAATTTTCATGGTAGAAAAAGATGTAAACTGTTCTTTTTTCTAGACTAGACTCGTCATTAAGAAACTCAGATTTCTTCAATTTACTGTCAAACTATTATTCCTCCTAAAAACCACCATTTATTTATATCTTCCTTTCACCATTAAGAAGAAAGATACTACCCCTTACTAAGCTGCATGGCCTAGTTGTGCCTACATTTATGCACGCCGCGGCGGGTTCGCCTAGGGCGCGCCGCCTAGGGCATGCCGTGGAGGCCGCGGCGATTTAGGGGAACGGGTGGCGCCGAGGGCACACCTGGCACGGCGGCGGCGGCCTGGAGAGGAGCGAAAGCGGAGGCGGCGTCGGTGAGGGGCGGCGGCGGAGGCGGGTGCCGCCGAGAGGAGAAGGGCGCCACCGAAGGAGGGCACCACGCTGGAGAGGGAAGCGGCGGCTGGAGAGAGCCTAGGGCTCTGACACCATGTTGACAATGAAAGAGGAAACCATAGAATTCATCATCGAGAGTGGAGACTACATGTGTGTATATAGAAGAGGAAAAGAGGAGATCAAGAAAATGGGCCTTATGGGCTCTAATGGGCCCTAATGGGTCAGGAGTCCAATGACACTATCGAACATCATTTATCGGACGTTTTCGGGATGCTCCTAATAACCAACGAATGGCAAGTGCTTTTCCTTGTGTAGATCCTATTTCAATAGGAACTTGATGAGTCGATCCGCCTAAATGGCGGGTGATTCTTTCACAATGGACTTTGATAAGTGAGATTTCGAATAAGCGAGATTCCTTGTGTTTACCGAATCTTCTTCTGTCCGAAGGAAATATTCATCGAAATAATGAGTCACCCGTTCCTTTGATATAGACACATCTGAGATCAACAAATGCTCGGGAGTTCGTCTATTCAATCCTTTTCTTTCTTCTCGTCGCTGTATATCTCGTTCGTATACATCTTCTCTTTTTTTCCCGAACCTCTAGTGAGTTACAGACAGAGTTAGAAAAGATCAAAGCTTTCATGATTCCATCTTACATGGATCTGGATCAGGATCCGTCAACTATGCTTACCATGGTCTCATGGAGCTTGCAGATAATATTTCCTGAGCAGGGGTACGACTGGCAACTAAGTGAAGGTATAAAATTGCTTAGTTCCCTTTAAGGTGTTAATTAACGAATATTTTCGGAGTTTCTGTGAACGGCTGTTGGGGAGTGCCGAGGGTGGCTACGGTAGAGTATGGATAGCCGTTTCTGGGAAAGATAAGGAAGGAGGTTGACCTATTTTACTACGTATTTGAATCCATACGGTCTTGCAAGTGGTTCAGGTGGGATTTTTCATAAATTTTCATTTTTAATCTTGGAAATGAAGAGTATCAACAATTTTTGAATTTTATGCGCTCCTTTTATTGATTTTCCTTGGCCTTTTCAGGTGGATGGCTAGATCCTCTGTCACTATTTTCTGACACCATAGTAATATACCCATTTTACTTCACGTTAGTACTAGAGCCTAGTTTTTCAGGATTCATGCCTGGTCATATTACATTCTTCAGAATATTATGTCTTCAATCTTAGTTTATATTGTATGCGTCATATTTCTCTTTGTCTTGGGCATCATTTTAGTGATCTTGTTATATTTTTCATTGCATCCATATGCTTTCAAGAATGGAGAGTACTTGCCTAGTAGGTCAGATTGTAGTCCTAGTGATGGAGTTGTATTTTAAGAATTACTGATGTCTCATAGCTTGAGTTGAAAATTTTGACAGGATGTTAATTATCTAAGTGCCATCTACCATTAATTTATGCTGATGTGTCTCTTATGTATGTCTACATATGAGAATGCTTATGATACAGACGTAAGTTTTAGTTTTAAAATGTGTACTTTAGCATAAGGCATTGCAGACATGTCCTAGCCTCATACATTTAAAAGAGGCATATCACATGTTTCAGTATACATCATCTTGGACATTACTTTGAAGATGTGTATGGTTATCTAATATATGACTAATCCTTGAAGAAGTCAATGGATTGAAATAAAGTATATCTTCTGTTAACCAGAAAGAATAAGAGATTTATTGGAGTTTTAAGAAAATGATTTAATGGGCCATAATGGGGTCTTTGGTCCCAAAAGAAAATTTAATCCCAGGGGTATAATAGTCCTTTGTCCTCATGTATTTTTCCCCAACCCTATGATAAGAAGGAGCTAAGAGGCTTCCTCTTCTGTGTGACGTGCAAATACATTGTGTTGTGTTCTAAAGTGATTCGTTGCTCTTGAAGGAAAAAGAGCCTATGGAACTATTGATGTATGAGGATTCTCTGGTGTGTGTTCCCATATCACTCACATTTCTCTCTCTCTCACTCTCTCACTCTATCTACCTCTTATGGGTGTATGATGCATAGTCTTACACTGTGCAAGGAGGGGAATTAGGATCCACGTTGCCAACATCATTGTCATGTTGTTCAAGAGGATAACTAGACGTTATAGGGTATACTGACTTAGATTTAGGTGGAGTCTTAAAGTAGAGGAAGTGTACTATGAGATATGTTTTTACTATTGTAGGTGAGATGTGAGCTGAAAGTCTATACTCCAAGAAATGATTGTGTTCTCAAGCAAGAGATAAAATAGAAGCCAGGCATAGATCTAGCGAAACAAACCACATGAAGCAAAGCTCTTATGGATAATATTGGAATGAAATAATAATGCTTTACTTTTTTGTGTGATAGCCAAAGTAAAATCCACATGAGAAGGAACCAAATTTATCATTCAATTATAAGGCACATTTCTGCCAAGTACCATGGAAAAGTGTATTTCAGAAAGAAATATTCATTGGGAAGTGTTCACATTGGCAAAGATTGAGATGAATGAGAAGTTGAAAATTTTGTTTGAAGCACATTAACTTGAAGGACCTAACCAAGGTAAAGTTTTTATTCTGCCTCATGGGGAGCTATGTGGGTCAAGGTGGAGAGTATTCTTATCTATGGATAAGAGATACAAACTTTAATCTCTATTAGGGCTAGAGAGTATGAGAGCAAACTTTCAGGGTATTTCTGTCGTTTCCTATGTTGGGGGGTGGGGGGTGGTTTCGATGTACATCCATTTGTGCTATGTTCTCTCCATTACTGCACCATTCTTTTTGTGACCATTTAGTGAATCTCGTCTGTAACTAGCCCTTATTTTCTAACTGTCTCTCTGTCTCTAGATATATATATGTATTATATCGTCCTTGAATACAACAGTCTCTTTAGAAAATCAGATTCTCGATGATTGAGACAACTCATTACTAGATCATGTTTGACGATGAAACTCACTTGTAGGACTGTATACAAAGGCTGTAAAGTAATAGCACAAAAATGATATCTGAAGTCAGTAAGAGTTCTTCCATGGAGAAAAACATGTGGGAAAGATATAAATAGCCTACCTGTTCCTCTAGTCCTAGTGACCCTTTCTTCCTTCTCCTCATATTCAATTTGCATGAAATTCACAGATATGCTTTGGATATAGATAATAATTGACACAATCATGTAAAACAATAGGAATGCCTAAACTTGTTATTTCTCATACACCTTTTCTCTGTAACAGAACATCTATTATACCTATTTATTTCCATTAATTTTGAAATAAAATTTCATTTTTTCTTCATTTTGAGACTCTGCTTCCTTGATTAGTGAGAATTTGAGAGATATAGGTGTTCTATATTCGGGACAATGAGGACTTTTATTGATTGAAAGAAGGGAAACGCACATTCTTCAAACGTTGAGAGAAGGTTTTGTTCGTCTAAAATTATTATCTACTTTCATCTTGGATAGTTTAGAGTCAATGGAAAAATCATTATTTACTTTCATCCTTTTCATCTTTTTTTATTGATATGGGTATTCATATTTAAAAAAGTATAGAAGTGTTTTTGTCACCGTAGTATGTTCTAGTCACTATTGTCAACAAGTGCAGTAATGTTTAGAAACGACCGTTTTTCGGTCCTCCCGCGTCATTGATGATTCCAGGCTTTTTGGTTGTCACTGATCATTGGGGTTTGATTACCCAAACGCTTACAGGGATCTAGCAGCTACCGATTCATCTGGGCTCAGCTGCAGCCGCCACCTCCAAACCCGATCGCTCCCTTCGCCGTATCGTAGATGACTTGGTACGTCTTTTGCTGAGTATTCCCGAGAATAGCAAGGTCAGAGGGGTCACCATTGCCGGCAAAGGCCAGGCACATCTGCGAGATCTTCGCCGCGTAGAGTATCCCGGAGACATGGATGTCCAAAGGGACGTTACCCCGGAAGAACAGCATTACCTTCGGAACGGACACCGTGTCATATCCGGTGAAATTGTAGCACGTATCCAGTAGGGAGAGCGCCGGCGCGGTCGGATATCTCGACATCTGCTCTCGGAAGGCCGACCGGAGGGCAGCATAGGCCGCCGGAGGAAAGCGGCTTATGACCGTGCCGGAGTCAACGAGAGTACCCGCTGTCTGGAACGTGCTCGCGGGTATGGATAGCTGCTCGCCTCCTACGCTTATCCCGACAATGTCGAGGAAGTAGAAGGAAGGGGCGCTTACGTCGGTCAGCATCGGCGTGTACTTGACACCGGAGATTGGCACGGTCCAGCCCATAGTCAGGTAACCATTGGAGCTCGGATTTGAAGGCAGGCAGTAAGAGAAGACTTTGCCGTACTTGCCCGCAGCCTGGGAAACAAGAGACACTGCGTCCCGTCCGAGTCCGAGTAGGCCCCCTGCCTGGCCAAAAAGGCCTTGGTTATTCTCGCCGCATCCAATCTTGATGTTGGAGAGAACATCGGTGTCTCTCAATGTGATGGTCTCGTGGGCGTAGAAGCCAATGGAATATGAACTGTCGCCGTACTGGACGGCATAGACGCAGTTTGACGCGGAGCAGCCGGGCTTGTTCCCGGTGGCCGACTGCAGGCTCGAACAGTCGGCGGAACTGCAGCTGATGTTCTTGTACGATGACGACTGGCGGGGGTCGAATATGGGCTCCTGTTGCTGGTAGCACGAGCGGACGCAAGGTTCGCATTGGATCCATGTCAAGTCGCTGCCGGTGTCGAAAACCACCGAAATGTCCTTCTTGGGGGTCCCGAAACCCACGGTGACCAAATAGTTGGCTATGCCCAGCGCGCGGCCCGAGCGAGCTGGGACGGTCGTAGCCGCCGATTCACGCCGTCGCTGAGCAGCAGCTCGCTGCGGCACGGGCACAGTCATCCTCCGCGATCGACGAAGCGACTCTGCCCTGGACTCGTCCAAGAGTAGATTTTCCTCGGGGATCAATTTCGAAGGGCGTCCCCGGCTACTAGGCGGCGCGCATGGTCCATGACGGTGGATGACCCTCAGCCCATCGTGGTTCGCATCTGTCATCAAAGGAACGAAGAACATTAGCATCATACATTACGGATGAATTTTATGTGCTATGTAGAGCTGAATCAATGTTTAATTTTACTGAAGGGATAAAGAACCATTCGACGAGCAAACATTGCCGGTGAGAAGAGTCCGGACGGCAACTTCGTGGTGAGTATCTGCATCCACTTCATTGGCCTGATAAGAGCAGTGGCAGCAAGGACTCCACAACACTAGGGCAGCTATCAGTATGTGGGAGAAGAACGAAGCAGGAGCCATGGATGTGGAGCGTTTTCAAGAACAACCTTGTGTGTATCAGAAAGGCATTCTGAAAGAGGGCTTCTTTTTCTAATATGGAGTTTCAATTCAGCCCCCCACGACTCTATATACCCAGTATTCATTGCGGCCCGCGCGAGCCCTCCTACGATTTCCTCCGAACGATTGGATGTCAGGCCGCCGGGAAGAGAAAGGACGTTCCTTTACTAGCCTAACACCGCCGCCCACTACCACTACTACCTACCCCACCATCATATAATTGAATCCACGTGAGGGATAAACACAAGTAACCAATCACAACCCCTTCTCTGGACAGCACTAATGAGGCTGAAGGGAATATTGTGGGATTCGATCCTGTTGATGGGGAAGAGGAAGACCACGGAAGGTGACAGCCTTTGTTGAGGAATAAGGACGGCACTAGGGATGCACGAGCTCTCACATCAAAAACCAAATAAGGAACGAACATTAGGTTTTTAGAAAAAAATGGCGGACGGTCGTCTTTGAACATTTTTTTTTAATTTAATCGGATTTTGAGTACTGAAATTAGGTTTTTAAAACGTTCGAGTGTCCCCGAAGCCCTGCATGGTTATGCGTGACTAAAAAGTCTGAAAACCAAGAATGGCTCACCTCTGCCAATTAACTTGGCTTTAAACTTCAGCGCAGATCTAATCCAAAGTCTATTTTCTTGTAATGCAACTATACAATCAACTTCTTAAAAGGATTTCACCCTCCTCTTTTTTATCCTTCCTTTATTATTTCATTCTATCAATAGATAGATTCGCCTAAATTGGTATTAGCCTTCCAAGAAGCTACCTCAGAATTTCTTGGTTGAACATCTTTATAGAGTCAAGCCGAGATCAAATTGTTCAAGATGTGAAAACAATAATTGATACTGGACCCATAATCAAGAAATCAACTTGGAAATTGATACCAAAGGCACTCGTTTTACTTTTTCTCTTTTAAATAATGTTAATATGAAAATTGGCCAAAGCTCGTCATACTACTTGATATGTGGTGGTTGACCAACGTCAATGCCTGACTACATTTAGCTCTATTTATTGTCAAAATACTGTTGAGAGCTGAAAATAAATCTTGATAATGAATGTCATAAGATAGTTTTACCTTTAATTAAATTACAAGCAAAATTGTCCACTTATTTGAAGATAAGACAAACTATATTGAGAATTCTTACTATAAGAGAAAGCTTATGGTTTGTTGAAATGAAATATTAGATAATTATACATTTTCAGCACATATAAGCCGTTCTTTAGAGGAGTTATAGGCTCTCTACTTGAGATGAAATATCCTAGTCAACTTCATCTCCTTTCTTGTAAGAATTCACAACAAAGTGATACAAAATAATTTCAATAGATTTTTCTTGCACTACAATATTTTAAATGTGTCCTAGAGGTGAGTGTAAAGTTGATTGAATATTGGGATTCTAATACTTTATTTCAATACTAGTGAATTACAATACTTTATTTTTAAAGTATGTACATATCTTGATTTTATATGAAAACGGTTTCATTTGCTTCATCAACTAGAATAGAATATGTTTAACCTAGTGGCTATGGTTCCTAAATTCTATGGAGAAAATCTTGACGGGAGGATGATGTGATCACAATAGGTAAAATACTAATTTTATGTGATAATATGCATAGTAAAATTAGTCATAAATTCGACCATTCATAAAATAAAGTATCATTTTTTAGGGATCATGTAAACTGAAGACATCTCATTACGTATTTTGTTAAAACTCCTGAATAGTTGGCTAATATCTTTGCTGAGTAGTTATCTAAAGGTGCTTTTCTCAGCCATTAAAAGAGGGCTTGGGATCTGGGATCACAATGAATCATTTACATCACTCTATCATTGTCACTTATAATTGGTTAAATAAATTTTAGTTATTTTTATCAATACATATGGTTCTTTTAGTATTTATGCATTTTTTAAATTTTTTTTAGAGTAATTTTCTTTTATCTAATGTGTTGAACCACCTATGGATGTGTTGAATTGTATTTATTTCAGTCAACCAACAAGACATTGTACTAACTAGTGTCGATTCATGCCAAGAAGCAAAACTTTCAATTTGTAGATGCCTGCTCTTGATCAAGGATTTGAATCATTGATCAAACTTGACATGAGTCGAAACAAAACTCATTTTTTCTTTGTGCAATACCCTTTTTATTCCTTCAACTTATCGAAATCTTTCAATGTGTGAAAGTCAAACTATGTCTTATGACAAACTAAAAAACCGTCCTTACCACCCCTTTGATGAAGCCTACACTTTCACTCTCATATACACCTGGATTCTTACTTTATGCACTTGAAGTTCCATTCTAAAGCCTCAATGATACATCTAGAAGTAAATAAGCATCAATAAAATGTCTATTCAAGTTATTTCTTCAATTTTTCCTTCCACTAGTTCTTCCCCCTTGGTAGCCAGCTAAAAAAACTGTATTCTTTACTTTCTACTCTTGAGATTGATTTCTTCTCATCTGTCAAAATGTTCAACTTGACGCTGCTAGAAGTTTCTTTGCTCAACTTAGTGTTAGTGTAGGACAGTTTCCTCCAATGTTTCAGTTGTTAACCTTAATGTACATACTAAACTCTCACATTGAGTAGATCTACATATTTTGGCCAAAATCTTTATGTCCTCCAATGAACACCATTGACTATGTCAACATTGTCTTCTCTACCTTGTGTAGAATCTGATCTGATCAATATCATTCTTAGAGGGGGGAAGAAATATATTTTACAAAAATTCCGTACACATTTATTGTGAGTATGCATGGAGAGGCGGCACAAAGTGATAGTGAATGTAAGAACACATTGCTTTCCTTATTAAGAATGTAAGAATATATCAAAGGAAATAAATGAATGAACCAATATTTCTTCATGATGACATCTTTGATTATTTGTGTATTATTGATTCAGTAATATTTATTTGAAGTTTATTTCTAAAGCTTTTGTAAACATCAAAAAGTGGGAGGTTTTGGTTTAAGTTTTTCATGTTGACAAATAATCATAAAGAGAATTTTTTTTTTCTTAGTATGTTATTATTACACTAATGCTTGGATGACTATCTGAACCATTAAATCTAATCCATTTTTGTTCTATTATGTTTTCAACACATTAAACAAACAAAATAATCATGATGAACAATATATATAAGAAGAAAGTTTAAATGAAAACACAAACGAAAACGAAAACTAAAAGCTTTTGAAAGAGAAATCAAGGGAGCAGATTGAGTGTTCAACATATGTCTGTAAAGAGAAAATCAAATTAAAATAAAATCTCAGACAAGAAAAAGAGATTCTTTGGGAATTATGACACATCAAATATGTAAAGAACATTTTTTTGATTTACGGTATAGAGAGACCTAGCCAAAGGCAGTAAGATTGACATTATGACCCAGATAATTTTTGATTGTTCAGTTCTTACACTTTTAAGTAAAAATGGCCATTCTTTCTAGCTTTATAAAAATTCTATCTTGGAAATTAGATTTGAATTTTATCATGCGGAGTGCCAATCCTTAGTGATAATGTCAATACTTAATTTTCATGATTTATTTAGATTAATATGCTCAATGAACAAGGGAATGTACTATTTTGTGATTAAAGTTTTCGTGTATTTGGTAAACTAAACTTTATAAAATATAACGATTAAATCATTTTTATCTGTGATAGATTATCACCTGAGCTGCACCTCCAGAACTGTGGATTTCTTCAAAAGAATATGAAATTTAAGACGTCAACTAGATAGCTTCTCCATCTTATCCCATATGGAAATCATTATGACGCTTCCGTACATCAGAAAATCAATAAAAATTTAGATTAGATCAATGGGACTTCAGCTCTATGTCAGGAACAAAGCCAAGATTCGAATAATTATAGCACTATATTTACATATTTTACAATATAGTAGGAAAGAAACGTTCAGATTTAATTTCAGATTATGTGAATCAGGTCATCCGTGAGGTCCTTTATCCTAAATAAAGAATAATGAAAAAACTTTTTTAAATGAAATCCAATGATATTTCACCATTTTCATTCATTCATACATAAACATAATAAGTCAAAAATAATATCGTTTGGTCAACATCATAAGTCAATGTACTTCACAAATTCTAAGTTAGAGGTTTTTTCATTCATAAATCTTTTCATGAATAATCCTAGTTAACAATGTCTTCTTTCCTTATGTTAATTTTTTTAAGTGTAACAATTTTATTTTATTGGTAATGTATGAGAAAAGTTTCTAACACAATTTTTGTTTGATTTCGGTCAGATATATTATAGCATAAGACATTCAATCATAAATTAATATCACTTCAATTGCTAATTCCAGCTCAATGGAAAATGTATAATGTTTTTCAAATTAGTTATAATTTTTAAATTTTGACATTTAATTTAAAATTTTCCTTTTTTTTAGTGATAACAAGAGTTTATCCTAATTTTTTAATAAAAAAAGATCAAACAAATGAGGAACTATAACAAGAGGCAGGCAGTGTCGAAGATCTAGATGTTGAGGGGTGTTAGACATCAAAAGTCACAAATAGACACCTGCTTTTTAGAGAATCTCTGTATTGAAAA